ACACACCAGGGCACACGCCAGCCACAGACTCACTTCTCTGAACAGAAGCAACACGGACAATGCAGGGGCTTAGGCTCGAAAGGTGACGTGTAACAAGAGCATCACAGCATCATCGCGTAACAGCGGAGCGAATGCACATGATTTTGCCCTTGGAAATAACGGCGTGGCGCACTATGATTATTACCACTGTTTGAGGAGGGTTTTACGGTTGACAAAATAGGGGCGTGGGACCCTCAGCCGGACTCTGGCAGGAAGGAAAGTGTCATCTCCCCAGGTCGCAGAAGAGGCAACGGGGGCCCACCGGAAAGGTTATGGGGAAGGAGGACGGAAGAGGGGAGGCGGGGAAAAAGCAGCAGACAGAAGAGGAGGAAAAGGAAGGTGGAGGAGAGAACAAATCAGGTGCCAGTGTGGCAGGCACAGGGACGGGCTCACACACATGAGCTCAGCAACTCCAGTGAGCTCACGTGATCTCATTCCACTTTAGACACAAAAAAACTAGGGCTCAGATGGACCATGCAACTCATTCAGGAAGTGAGGGCCAGGAAACGGCCCCGGTCAGAATGACTCCTAAGTCTTCCCACTGCACCAAATAACTTGAGTGGATTATCCCCGTTTACGTCACGTGTCCAGGCTACAGTGAGATACGATGAAAAACGTCCAATAGTGCCTGAGAAATCCTTAATGTGTGAGAAGGCAGGAGGGGTGGGGGCTGTGTTTCAAGGTGGGATCACGCTCAGGACTGGCAGATAAAGACCGAGAAGAATCAGAATATCCGGCTTCGCATTTGAGATGTCAGAAGCAGTTTCACAAGCACAGCGTCTCAAGCCTCCCCCTACATGGTTCTGGTAAGTGGGGTCCCCGAGAGCACTCTTGTCCAGTGCAGGCAGCTTGTGACAGCTGAGAAAGGCAGGCTTTTTCATTAAAAATATATATGAAAAACAACCAAAGGTCGTCAGTGGTGTGAGGAAAGTTAGCAACAAAGTAGAACAGGTCAGAGAGTGAACATACAGAAGCTGAATTCTAGTGAAAAAAAAAAACAAAAACAAAAAAACCAAACAAACAAAAAAAACAAACCCAGTGCACGGTATTCAACAAGAACAGACTGTTATAAAATGGGAGCTAATTAGCTAATGTAAGGTAAGTAAAAGAAACCAGGCCCCGAAGGGTAGCAACTATGGAAATACACAACTGCATTTCGAATACATTCAAGGTCAGACACCACTAAACGGTAACGGAAGCGTGAATGGTGGGACCTCTAATGGGGGCAGGAGGGAGCCCGCCAGGAGACTAGACGTGTTCTCCGTCTCCTTCCTGGCAGTGTTCACACAGGTGTTCCTATACTCAAACACCTACCAAGGCCACACGCCTGGTGTGTGCGTTTTATGAATTACGGCGAGAAAATATTCTGGAGTAGGGCTGGAAGGCAGAAGCTGGGGTCGTAGGTGGAGCCAAAGACTTGATTTCAGCCCGGTGGGGAACTGGAAGGGGAGATTAGTGTTCCCCATCACTAGCCCACAATTTCAGCCCAGATATACTGGTGTGTGTGTGTGTGTGTGTGTGTGTGTGTGTGAGAGAGAGAGAGAGAGAGAGAGAGAGAGAGAGAGAGAGAGACATGGCCTTTCCACGCTGCATATTCATGAACGTACCTGCCAGAAAAGTTCTGACAACAGTTTCATAACCATTCACCATGTGCTGGGACGGAAAAGCAAATGCGCCAGCATTAGAGTCACAGAACAAGGACTCAATTTAGAGGTATTTAAAATATTAATGTTCTTCCTGGGTACTTGTCTTCCCATCACTGCCATTTAATTTTAGCTCCATTTCATTGTTTTAAGTCCTATTTTCTTTTTTCCGGAAATAACTTCCTTCTGGTCTTAAAATCCGCAAGCCATTTTTCCTCCCCCAAAGCAGCAATTGGGGGAAGAATGGAAAAAAAAAAAAAAAAGTTCAATTTCCAAAAATCTATCCGCCTATTTAGTGTTCGAATTCTTAGCCCCCCCTCCCCTTTTTGGAATTGGAAAAAGATGAGAGGAAAATTTTAGAGACCTAGCGTTGAAAAAAATGCTCGCAATAACTTCATCAGAAGTCATTTCAAACTCAGTCCCATTCTGGGGCGCCTGGGTGGCTCGGTCGGTTGAGCGTCTGACTTTTTATTTCAGCTCAGGTCGTGATCCCGGGATCACGGGATCAAGCCCTGGGTCGGTCTCCATGCTTCCACGCTGAGCCCGATTCTCTCTCTCTTCCCCTCTCTCTACCCCTACCCTCCCTCTCTAAAAAAGAGAAAAAACAAATAAGTCTCATTCTACGCACACACACACGCACACGCACGCACAAACACACACACAGATGGAAAGTAAAAAGAAAACAATCTTTGCTAGATTTTCTACAACTTCCAATTTACCCCGGTGAGAAGTAAGGTAGCATGAAAAACGGACCATAATGAGGGTGAAAAACATAACTGCAAATTATTCAGATGTCCTTTTTGATACATTTTAGATCCTCTGTGTGAAATAGTATTAATGTGCTATGAACCGGACAAAAGAAATGCCTCCAAATAATTGCATATGAAGAGTACTAAGAGCTCCCTGGGGTAGAGAGAGGTAGCAGGTTCTTCTAGAAGGGAAGACAGCGTAAAAGGCAGCTATTAGGCTCACTAAGGAGGGGTGGAAAGAAGTGAGGAAAGGAAACCGGCAAGATGTATGCCAGGAAGAGAACGAAAACAACTTCCCGAGAGAGCTAGGACAGGTGACTGTTGGTTTTCAAGTCAGGCAACAGTCGCCTCCCTAGATGCTGCCGTTCCTGCCAATCCAGATGCAATTACAGCTGAATACAGGCAATTAGTTTGAATGACAGCTGCTGAGGACCAAAGGGGCCAGAAAGACTAGTTGGCCCTAGGACTAGCCAGCTTAGAAGAGATTTTCATGTCAGAAACTGCTGAAGCTTACCCGGCAGGCCCTGGCAGGTGCACTGGCACAGGTAAAGGGTGCAGGGGGCAGAGGTAAGCCGGGGTGCCGGGAGCTGGGCCAGGGCCGAACGCTCATTGCCCTCAACTACAAGGGTTCTTGGTTCTTGCTTCTTGGTTTCGAGCCCCCCCGCCCAGCTGTGTGCCCCTTAGGTGGAAAAGTTCTCCACTCCCCACGTCATCATGAATAATGTGCAGGAGATGCTATCTTATTCGTATAAAATTATTGAGCACCTGCATGAGAACGCGGACCAGGTTATCCGTTCCAGGGATGCCAGACAAAAACAAACACAAAAACTTGAGTCTCATCCCTCCCCACAAAGAGCTTATAAATACGCTCGTAATGAGGAAAGGAACCCAAGGGCAATTCACACTCGAAGCCAAGTAATCAAACGCTCTTAGTTTCTAACACCAGCACATTTCTGCCATGTACTTGGCAGGAGGGTTTTTATTCAAAGAGATGGAGAGGGCATAAAAAAAAAAAATAGTTTCCTTTCCTAGTCCTTAGAAGGTGGCGGATCCAATTATAGAGATGCCACTGGTTATGGACGGGCGAGGGTTAACTCAGATGTTGCAAAGATACGTTTACAGACAGCACACGAGAACGTCTCGGCGCGTTTCAGAAGGAGGTGGAAGCAATTCGGATAAACAGGTGCCAGAAGTCCTGTGAGAAACAAGAAGTATGGTGTTATGGGAGCCCATCAGGGGCATTGGAAAGCCATGAGCCCTAAAAGGCTGCTCACAGCAAAGTCCCAGCCAATGGCAGGCCCGCACCTCACACGCGCGTGCATTTGCACGCGATGAAAACAAAGCAAAATGGTCAAACACCATCCGAGGGCATTAACGCGTGCTTGGGGGATGTTAATGCCCGTTGGCATCTCCGGGTAGCTCTGAATTGAAAGAAAGCGGCCGGACAAAGATGAGCTTTCCGCTCAACCTCTCCGAAAGGAGATGGGACCCAAGGCAGCAGGAGGATCAAACTCAGGAGTCCAACTCAGGCTTGCCTCGTGAGCGTGAGTATGTTCTACGGGGATAACTCTGAAAAAAGCGCAACATCCAGTTGCCTGCAAAGCAACGAAAGGAGAGGCCAGAGGTCCTGACTTAACAACAGACCAGTGGAGAGCCGAGCCTGAGGCCGGACAAAATAAAAAGCTGGGACTGCACTCGAGGAATTGCAAGAATATACGCGGTGGCTTTGCTATTGGGCTGCCAAATACGCGGTACTTGGGATGCTGACACGGGAAGATTCGTGCTGTTTCGTTTGTTAGGAGTGACTGGCAGGCCCCTTAGTGTCTTGCCACTATTGGCGTCTTATGCCTGCCGAAGACAGATGACTTTAGACAGGTCAACAAAAAGCGGAGTCAGACCTATCAGCACAGAGAGCGAAACCAGTGGCGGCCAGAGGGAGGGGGGAAGAGGAGATGGGCAAAACGGGTGAGGGGACGTGGGAGGTACAGGCTCCCGGCCTTGGAATGAAAGAATCGTGGGAAAGAAAGACACCGCCTAGAGAATGCGGTCAGCGATGCTGTACTGGTGCCGGATGGGGACGCACGGTGGCCAACGCTTGTGGCAGCTGAATCACATCAGCGCGTCAACTAATGTAGCGATACGTGTCAACCAGCCTCAAACTTCCAAAAAAATTAAAGACGTACTTTGGGGCACCAGGGTGGCTCAGTCGGTTAAGCGTCCGACTCTTGATGTCGGCTCAGGTCGGGATCTCATGGTTCTTGGTTTCGAGCCCCCCCCACCCCGCCCCGCCCCGTCCAGCGCTGTGCTGACAGCGTGGGGTTCTCTCTCCCTCGCTCACTGCCCCAATAAATACAAACATTTAAAAAAATCCGCAAAATCCAGCTGTTTTGTCTTCGTTCTATCCAAGAGCCACATTCTCAAACAGATAAAAAAAAAAAGACCTGTCCTACTAACCACATCAGTGCATCGTGGGTATACCATGGGGCGTTATTTCGACACTACGCAATTATTGAGCATCTGTGCGTAAGCACACTGCCTAACGCTACTTTGTTATCTACTCTAGTGATGTAAAAAAAAAAAAAATGGCCAAGGATGGCCCCTTCCCGTAAGGAACTTATAAATGTACTGCTAACGAGGCAATGAATCCAAGGACTACCCACACAAGAAGCAAAGTAGTCACATGCTTCTTGGTTGCTAGTACCAAAGAATTTCTACCATGTTCGGCAGAAGGGTATTTAGGGAAGGGCGAGAGGCGTGGACTTCAGGGGTCCACAGCAATGACACGGAAAGAGGAGTTCCGGCCCCCAGGAGGCAAATTTCCGGTTTCAGTTGTAGGTCACATGAGACTGAATAGACAGGTGGGGAGATAGACAGACAGACGTGCACCCATATACACCCCGCACATAAAGATACACCTTACATCCCATCACTCAACCATGGTATACGAGATATTAACACATTTTCTTCCTGGTCTTGGGATATTTTAATGTCTAGTATCTGTTGGGTCAGGGACGTGTTTATGGAGAAACTGTTCAACGGTGTTATTAGATCCTTTTCCTCACTTAAGATCCTTTTTCCAAGGAGATATTTTGGCAACAGCTCTAAATGACTGGATCCAAGGAATCAGAATTGGAAGCTGGCCCCAGAAAGCACTTTGTTTCTTTTTCTAGAAGCAAGATTATACAGGATAATATACACAAAACACAGCTCGACCATTATATCATCACAAGTAATATTTCTTCATTACGCCCTAAAAAATAATTCTGTTGAGCTTTTTTGCTTAAAACAAACAAGGCACAGCAATTCTGCTTAAAACAAATGACTCAAAACTAATGCTTCTGTGTGTTCTTGTCTGCAAGTCCTCCGTCTCAATTAAAAGTGAAGGGATTTAAGCCAACAGAGTCAGACCATACTTCGATCAGTGCCCAGAGAAATGAATATAATCCTGGTTTTCTTTTAATTTGCTTTTAGTGCTTACAACGATCCAAATAAAATAAAAGCAATCTAATATTCTCCTTAGAAGTATCTATTCCGAAAGCTTTCAAATGGTTTTCAATAAAATGATTATGCCTTCTTTTCCCTCAAGCTTATGGCATTTTCAAAACGTCTCAAACACCGTGCCTTGAGAATGTGCCATATGTTTTCATGAAAACGTGGCAATTATTCAAGTAACTATTTTACTATCATTCTCATGTTTCTCTGCATTTCCTAATTACTAGGAGTGCTATCTATGTGAGAAGATTGAGTCAGATCCCTTTTACAAGGTTCTCGTTCACTTTTGCATTTTCAAGTGTCGTGAATCAAGGACACACACTGGAATCATCTAAACCAAACCTCAGACATACTTTGAGACGATTCAATGTTTTTCCAGTTACCTATAAAGGCTTCCAAAAAAGTGACCAGCCAATGTGAAGCCTTCTAACCCAGGGTTTCCAACCACAGCACTACTGACATTTTGGGCTGGATCGTTCTCCGCTAGATGGGGCCGCTCTATGCCCTGGAGGATGCTTAGCGGCCCCTCTGGCCTCTACCTTCTTAGACGCCAGTAGCAGCCCCCTCCTCCGTTGGCCAAGATCATCAGAATGTCTGTGGATATTGCCAAATGGCCTTGGAGGCATGGCCATAATTGCCCTTGTTTGAGAAGCTTCCCACATGGGGGCAGATGCTTATTAGCCTATTTCCTCAATGATCTGGGTCCTTTGGAATCAGTGTGGAAATTAAGTGGTCAGTTAAGACCACTTCGAAAAGAAAGAACCACTCATCATTGGAAGAAGGGTACTCACGAAGTTAACAATTTTCCGAACCTCACCAAAACCAGTCTAGTCCTAAAAATCCCTAAAATATGCAAGAATTTTCTCCCTGTCCTATTTGCTATTCCTTATTCCTCAGCAGGAAATGGGTGAAGTTCTAAGGCCAGAAAGCAACGTCTATAGGTAAGAATCTGCTACGTGTCCCAACCGATGTCTCAAGTTCGTGAAATATCTTGGATGCAAGAACACTTATGACAAAAAAACAGACTGGCCCGGGATTTAGTCCACAAAACACTGCATTTTAATTAGTATTTCCCAGCTCATCAACTTCACGGTTTCTGATCTTAGCTCCCAGGAATACATGAAACCCACCACAGTCAAGGCAAGAGGACAGAGAGACAAGTGGATATTTCTGGGAAGAATCTAGATTGATAACTACACAAAAATATTGGTATCGGTACAGAGACAGAGGTGACAGCTATAGATCCGTTCTTCCTAAATCGAGAAACTTGCTGCCGAATTTATAAGCTCAAACACATGCACAGAACTCTGACCTTGAGCCCCTGCCGTCGCAGAGGGAAGGAACTAACCTGTATGCGGGTTGAGCAGGATGCTTCCGGGCGGGATGCCTGTCGCAGCCTCGAGTGGAAGGAGGATGTAGCTGGTGCTAGGGGCGGCCTGGCCCCCTCCTCCGTTCTCGGGATAGGGCACACAACCAGGAGAGCCGGTGGACACGCTTGGGGCCAGGGGCGCGCTCTGCAGAGGTGCGTGGGTGCGGGGCAGCGACCCGGAGGAGCCTGTGCTGCTGTTAGACTCAGAGCCTGCCACAGAGAAATGGATCAGGAAATCATCCAACACGGAGGGCTCAGGCTCCAAAGGCTTAGTTTACATAATCCATCCTTAAAGAATGTGAGGTGCCTGCCGCGGGACCAGAGCGCCGACAAATATGTCCCTCCAACATTTGGGGCTCACATGTTATTGAGATGTTTGCTACATATTTTTCAGACGTGTCCACTTCTTGGGAATGGGCACTCTCTTTCAGCCGCCCACATGCCCCTAGGGTGGTACACTGGTAAATGGTACCCTAAAGCTGGGGACTCAGCGCCCGGAGACACCCATCACCCTGCGTAATTAAAGCCAGAAGCCCATCCTACTGGAGTTAGGAGAAGAAAACGCCAGGTGGATATGAAAGAGACGGCAGTCTGAGAAGGAGTCAGTCCTGGAATGTGCTGATCCCGGGCCTGTCTCTAAGGTACTGGTTCTCCAACATGCCCCAAAAGCTGCATTTTGAAAGGGCGTGGCTAGGAATAATCTCTTCCCCTCAGATGTGAGTAGAGGAAACTAGATCATGCCAATGGAGGGTGCATAAGATGCACATTTCACATGTTCACAGAAATCCTATTAATAGGAGGTCTGTGGACTCTGTAATTTGCAAACATGTAGGTAACTAGATGCCAAGGTGGCATCGAACACAACGACCTCCCTCTCCCTGCACTGTGGACAAAGAGACACCTGCTATACCCCACATCCGTTAGGCACTACCTGTCCTTCACCATGACCACAGCCAAGCAGTTCCGGCCACCCTTGACCATGGCTGTTCTGGGCACGGAATATTAACCGGAGCATCGGAGAGAAAAGGCACCAAGCAACATTTCTGGATCAGTGAATTCTAACAGATGATTTGGATGGTACCATAGGTGGCAAGAACGGAGTACGAGAAGATTTTGAAGTTATGAGCCCACGACTCTCAGTTTATGTCATTCATATGCACTCTTCTGTGTCATTGAAGGAGACATATTAAGGAAGCGCTAACATTGTTTTCAAGACGCTAAAATGCGCCCGTGAGTTCAACTGGAGACCTTTAAAAACAAGTGGTAGGGATACGGCACGTCATTGCGGAGAAGAGGGGCCATCTGAGAGAGCTTGGAGAAGGAGGACATAGTTGTGGAGAAGGACAGTGATGTTTATGGAGCACTTAGTATGTGCAAACACCTGGAAACACCAGTGTGCAATACCGTGCCCCTCCATCAGCTGGAGAAGAGCAACACCTTCATCAGGAACAATGAGAAGGCGATGCAAAGATGATGTGAAGAATCGGATTCCACAGGGTAGAAGGATAGGAAGGAAAGCAACTTAGCTTAAACTCCCAACACTTGCAAAGATGGAGACCGCGATCCCTCCTTAGGGGGGTGGTTCAGCAGCCACGACGCAGCCAGGGTTCGTAACTGGCCTTGCTGCTGCCTTGCATCCAGCTTTTTAAGAGCCCGTAACCATCTACGTACAATCTACGTTCTACGCATAGAACAATCTAGAACAATCTACGTTCTACGCGTAGCCAGCATTCCCAAAGTTCTTGATCCGGAATGCATGCCAGCCATGGTGATAAAGGGCACAGGATGAGAAGCGTTCAAAGGCTGGTTAAAAAAATGAAATTGATATTTGAGAACTTTACGACTTTGCGTGCTGAGAGTTGAAGTGTGTCCTGTCTCCTTCGCTCAGGGACTGACATGATAACTGTGCAAATATTTAACCAGTATATCTGTGTGACAAGCACTGTGCTAATCGCTCTGTGTGAATTATCCAATCTCGTTTCACAGCGACCTCGTTTTGAAAGTGAGAATCAATCCTCAGAGATGTTAAGTCAATTTCCCAAGCATACTTCTTGCGTGGCAGACTCTGGGTTCAAACCCAGCCAATGCGGTCCCATGGACCACGCCCCATGCCCGGGGTCACTTGAGCGACATACAGGTGGGGCCAGGGCCCCGACCAGGCCTGTGCCAAGTACTAGGAGACACTGCACAGAAAGCTAATGGCTGCCCCCAGTGAGATGCTCAGAAGTTGAAGCTGGACCCCAAAGGGCAGCTGGCAGAAGGTATGGTGACAAAGCATCAGGGAGACGAATGGAGGACTCTGGTGAAGGCTCAAGAGACAGACAGGAGGGGCACCTGGGTGACTCAGTTGGTGACGCATCCAACTCTTGGTTTCGGCTCCGGTCATGATCTCACAGCTCATGGGTTTGAGCCCCAAGTCAGCTCATTGGGATTCTCTCTCTCTCTGTGTGTGCCCCTCCCCCACTTGTGTTCTCTCTCCCTCTCTCTCAAAATAAATAAATAAACTTTAAAAAGATAGAGAGAAAGGAAAAGAGCAAAGTGGCAGTGGGGTGGGGGGTGGGGATTGTATGATAGATGAGGAGGCAAAGCAAAATGGAAAACTGACCGGGCAGAAGGGAAGAATGAACAGACTCCCTTTGCTTAAGGGAGCACTTGCTCCCCAGGAAGCATCGTGAGTTTTAGTTCTAGTCATGCCACAGACCAGCTGTGTTTTCTTCGTGAACTGACCACTTCTTTAGACCTCAGTATCCTCTTCTGTAAAATATAAGCCACCGGACGAAATGGTGAGTCGCTGTGACGACGATGGCCTTGAAGTTCCCCTTAGCTTGACCAAACTTTAGACTGGTTTCTTCCGAAGGACAGTCCCCCTACCTCTCATTTATTTGAGGGGGTCTGCCCCTTTCAGGTGTAACTCTTCCGCAAGCCTCTTAACCAGTTTTATAAGCCAGGCACGTCTTTCAGGAGGATTTGGGGGCCATCCCTTTGAAATGTAATAATCAAGACAAGTGGTGCCCTTGTCTGCCAGTTTCTGTGGGCGGGTGGAAAGAAGACTGACTTTGATAAGCACCAATTAGCAAAGATGGCTTAGTCAAATTCACCAACCACCTGGTTTGGTCTACTGTTCCCTGGTGCTTATCTAGCACCTTCCTCCAGCACTTAAACCCCCCTGCAGGGGTGCCTGGGTGGCTCAGTTGGTTAGGCATCCAACTCTTGATCTTAGCTCAGGTCTTGAACTCAAGAGTCGTGAGTTCAAGCCCCATGTTGGGCTCAGTGCTGGGCATGAAGCCTACTTAAAAAAAAAAACAATGGGCGTGCCTGGGTGGCTCAGTCGGTTAAGCATCCTCCTCAATTTTGGCTCAGGTCATGATCTCATGGTCCGTGGGATCGAGCCCCAAGTCGGGCTCTGCAATAACAGCTCGAAGCCTGCTGGAGATTCTCTCCCTCTCTCTCTGCCCCTCCACCACGCATGCTCTCTCTCAAAATAAATAAATAAACTTAAAAAAAAAACTTCCCCTGCAATTCATTGGTGCATGGTTAATTTTAGCGTTTCTCCCCTGGCACAATAGTCTTGACCCCAATAGCAACAGTTATGAATAGAACATTCCTTGCCTGTTTATCTCGTCTGATGCAATTCCTCCTTTATATGGACCCTGAGCCATAAGTCTTTTTCTCTGAATCAACAACTCAAGAAAATCTTTCCAGATTCAGGGGTCAGAATTCAGTAGAGTGACCCAAAGCTTCTGAGATGACAAGGAGAAAGAGAACATCCTGGATGCATTGGGGTCGTAATGAAAATAAACATACGGAAGAGGAAGTGATAGAAAGAGGAGGTGTCTTACATCGGCTCTAAAAACGCTCCAGAACCTTTGCCTCCAGAAAACCAAATGGCACGCCACGTAAAATTACTAACACAAAATACGAGGGTCTCTTATGTCTCCAGAGCTGGTGTTCCCAAAGCTTGGTTTGAAAACAGGCAATCTGTGCTTTCACAAATCCTCCAGGAGATTCTGGGGCAGCTGAAGCCAAGAACCCCTGCTCCGGAAATGGAGACAGGAAGACGGTAAGACGGCGTCGATCGCGTGGCCAGGGTGGAAAGAAAGAGACATCATCACTTCCCAGCCACATCGCCATGACCAAGAAGCAGCTGAGGTTAGGATAGGAGCATCTTTCCAGTCCCCTCCACCAGGAGGAGGTGATGACAGGATGACATCCTCTACCTCCCGAGCTGGGCCCCGGGCCTCCGGCAGGCGACCACCTCTAAGCTCAGTGGCGTGGATGCCTTAGGGGAAAGACAGCCCAGGCCTTAGCAGAGCAGGTGGCTTTCTGTGCATTCAGACTTCAGCAATAAGCTCCTTCCAAAATGTAGGGAAACAGGTTCCCACCTGGAGAAGGTCTCATTATTATCTATTTAAAGCTCGAACCTATGTAATTAGAGCCGGGGAAGAGTAACTTAAATGTCATAACTCCAGGCTTGGTTTCTGAAAGGTCAAAAAAAAGTTTGCAATTCCACTGTGAGTAATGAGGCAAAAAAATGGAAAACTTGTGCTGTTCTGAGGATCCGTGACAGCAAAACTGACAGCTTTGCTTCATAAAACCATCTTGGGAAATTGTAAGTTTGTTTTGACATTCTATCTTGATCGCCTTTAATTTTTTTTCTTTTTTGCCTTCCGTTGCTGCACCTTGACAAGCTTTCAAAAGGAGACACTTAGATTAAAAGGAAAAAAGAAATGTCTGAAGCACTTACAATTTCTAATCATTCTTCAAAGAACATGGCATTTTAGCATTCTCGAAGTGTTTTAAATGTTTCCAAAGAGCTTTTCTCTGGAAGTGATTGGGGGGTTGGTGCATGGAGAATGACGATTAATTTAAAAATCTTAAGAGCCCTTTCGGTGTGCTGGAATTTTTAAGTGCACCATTTAAGGTCCTTGGTTTCTGCATTTTAAGGAGATTTAAAACGATTTAACCTTTCTTAGTGTGCAAGGGCTCAAGTGCACCACAGTGGGTTTTCTTGACTTCAGTTGCTGCAATAGTGGGAGCAATTGAGCTCCCTTACTTTCTTAATTAGAGTAAGAAAGCAAGAATTCACCAATTGGTGAGATGACAGAAGACAGAAGGCGGTGTGAGCCACCTGTGTCTTTCCGAGGAGCAAGAGATATGTACACAGATATGGTAGTGGCCGTCACCAAATGCTATTAATTTTCTGCCCGTATGGGAGAACACGAGATGATTTCTTAGGACATTTTCAACATCATCATTAGGGGAAACCATTAGCAGGACCCTGGATTTCGCAGAGAGCGCCCCCTAGCGGGAGTGTGAAACGCCGTTAGGAAAGCGTTCACAATCGGGACAACCCACGTCTAACCTCCGGGTGGTGTTGGCCATTCCCCGCCCCGCTCCCTGCCCTGCAACCCCAGGTCTGTGATCGCACCCCCAGTATGTCCTGACGCCCGGGACGTGTCGCTGAACCGCAGCTCTCCACCCCCACCCTAGCTCCGAACCCTCGGAGGCAAAATCGAAGCCAAACGGAAACGCTACGTACTAAAACCACACGTCAGTTCGTGGAGAGCTGCTAAAAATGGTTGCCTGTCAGCTTCCTGGGATTCTAAGAGGTATTTTGATGGAGAACATTTGGAAATCAGGTGAAAACAATGGCGAGGGATCCTTGGGAGCCAGAGGAGCTGGGAATGACAGACCATGATGGGTAGTTTTTGGACCCCTATGAACCCGGGGGGATTCATGCTTGCATCACTTTAAAGTTGTTTCCAGGTAATGGTTCTCATCATTGCCTGCCTCCCAAAGTCTGTCCATGCAACTTGAACCACCTACCTCCAAAGATCACTGTGCACTTGGAAGAAAAAAAAAAAAAAAAAAAAAAAAAAGAACTCCAAGCCTCTCTCAGTCTCAGTCTCCTTATTTGCAAAGCAGGAATGGAGGCATTAAGTGGCAATAATAAAAATAAACATAGACTAGTGTTTGTGGAGGGCATATAACTTGCCAGGTATTATTCTAATTGCTATGCGTACATGAACTCTTTTAGCCTTTGCCATGAGCTTGCAATATAGGTACCACAATTATTCCCATGTCTTGGGTGGAGAAACGGAGACACAGATAGGTCAAATAACTTGCCCAACGATGACACTAACAGCGTGCCAAAGCAGGGACCACAACTATCCATGTTATAATCACCTTGCAATGTGAGGTTTTAAGAAACTAATCATAGCATTAAATTTAAAAAAAAAAATGGCTTCCTCGTGTTCATGTACAGGTGCCTTGGGAACCATTTTTATAGAAATAATTGAATTTAAACGTACGGTGGTTTGCTGGGGGGGGGTTACGGTAAAATTCTGTAACAGTTTACATATCACAGTGTGAAAGGTGAAATGATGTGGGGTCACTTACGTCAAGAGGTTTTAAAATGGACCCGGGGGGCCGTTAAGGAGATGGGCGTCATACACCTTCTCACCTGTAGAACCATGAACTTTGGAGCTGGGCCCAACTGCAAACATGCCGGGGACGCAGCCCAAACACCTGCAAACTGCTACAGTTAAGAGAGAAACCAATTCTATTCAAGAGATCAGGGTTCTGCCTCCAACACCGATCAAAGATGCTTTGCAAACCACGTATACAACCTCTCACAGAGGTTCAGCGAGCGATCTGGCCTTGGCACACAGCGGGCAAGAGACGCTACTGGCATTTCAACGGCACCTTCTGACTTCCCGGCCATGCCAGCAATCACTACCCATTCATTCCAATTAATTAACTGGAAGCCAGAGGGAATGATGGCCGTATGGGTTGGGGAGAATCTGGGCAACAGCACAGGACACAAACCCATTCAGTACTAACTACCTGCTTTGGACAACTTCCCGGGGCTCCTGGTACTGGATGTGCTGTCGCCCCTGGTCAGCACCGTGATGCCCCCGAAACTTGCCGTCTTGGCCATGGCGGGCTTGAGATTGCGGTTGGAGCCATCAGAGTCCGTGCTGCTCCAGGGCCGGTGGTGGTCCGACCACTTGAGCTCATTCTCGGAGCTGCTCTGTCGACTCCCGGCTGCTCTCCCCGAGCCGTCTCTGTTGCCCCTGGAGCACAGCCATCAGAAAGATGCACAGGGACAGCGTTACCTTCCACGAGCCGCACGGGCACAGGGCGGGAACTTTCTTGGAAGAGCGGTCTACGCGAGACCCTTCTTGCAACCCTTTCCATCAACCCCGTCGCCCCACAAACAGTGCCACAAATACCTCGTTGATGTGTAGACAGATCACATGTCACACACAATGTGGGTGTTTACAAACAGAAAAGCCAAACCTAGAACTGTCACACCATCCCTCTGCCGGTGAAGGAGAAACAATTAGGGAAAAAAAAAACAAACCACATGGCATAAAACATAGTTGTTAACTTCTCTTGGGGAGAGGAGAGGAGGATAAACCCTCCTGACTCAAGTCAACAATGAATCAACGTTTGGGACCGATTATGATCTTGAATGATTCTAAAAGCAACTCTCACTGAAGAGAAGTTTTGGGTGTCCCTTTAGCATGAAATACTTGGACCATGGGGAAACGCACCCAGAGCCGGTGAGGCCGTTCATTGTCTCCTACCTTTATGAAATGTCTATCTGAATTCATTAAGGCTTTGACAGCACAGAAATCACAGCAGTTTGACTCCATTAACTGAGGGTGTGAATTTTGCCCAGTGGGTTTAACCTTCGTGGGCAGAGGAAAGAGTCTTTCGATCCTTTTCACGTGGAAAAACTTGCGACAATAACACCACCAGGGTAAACACTATGCTGACACGAAACTTTCCAGGGGATCAGTGAAAATAACAAAAGCTCCATCGGTGAAAGAACCCATTGGTTCAAAATTCAAATTGAAAAAGAGTGAATGTGTGGGAAGAGATCCAATACCCAGGAGTGAATTTTGACGACTCCACAAGATCTCTAAGACACAAAATCACCAGCGTTTCATAGAGAAAGTTGATGAAATTTGCATTTTCATTGGTTTCCGATCTGTTTAAAGGGTACCTTCGTATTTTCACAGCTTTTCCTGCAGTTGGAAATAACACATGATCACAATACTCTAAGGTTCTCATGGACTATAAGTAAGTAAAGGGAACATAAATCACGGGCAATGGGTACAACCCCTAATTTCCTTATCCCTGAGCAACGTGACCTGCCCAAGTCTTGGTCCCAGTCTCACAGATGTCATCCCCTAGCTCTGTCGTCTCCTCTTCTAAAGACAACAATAGACCGTGGAGAGGTTAGGAGTGAGCGCATCTCGTTGAAACACTCACCAGCCAAACTGTACAGAAGGTACACAGAAAACTTTAGGGGTTGTTTCAACTTTACTCACTAAACTTTTCCTTGGTTTTAGAAGAACTGAAGAAGGTAAATGGATCCAAGAGATAATAAAAATGAAAAGGCTAGGGGCGCCTGGGTGGCGCAGTCGGTTAAGCGTCCGACTTCAGCCAGGTCACGATCTCGC